ATATATGCGAGACCGATTTATTATTCGACGTCATACAGGCAGCTAAAGTAGGATTAATACACCCAAGTTTATTAACCCCCCAAGAGTTATTGAAACAACTTTTAAATATTAAGGTAGGAATGCCAAGTGGTACAGATCTACCTATGGATTTAAATGAAAATAACGTACAGGAAATGATACCCCTCTCAGACATAACAATATATTATTCTAATGATAAAATTGTTTTTATTTTAAATATACCTTTGGTATATCAATATGAATTAACACTTTTTCAGCTAATACCAATACCAGATTGTAATAATAATAATTGTGTTTATATAAAACCTAGTTATAAGTATTTAGCTGTAAGCAAATCTAAAGAAATGTATTCAGTTTATGATGAAATAAACCAAAGTCTTTGTAAACATGCCGGTGATTTCCTTTTATGTCCTGAAATTTACCCCTTACATCCTAGAAGCGGACGTCCTATATGCGAGGTACTTTTATTACAAGAACCAAAAGACGTTCCAGACAGTTGCGAAATTATGCAAGTACAATTGCAAGCAAATCTATTCCACAAGCTAAATTTCAAAAACGAATGGATCTATGCTACACCAGGAGAAACCATATTCATTACATGTGACCAAGACAATAGAAGTACGAATCGTTTTCCCTAAGGAGTAGGTATACTACACCTAAACGAAACTTGTAAAGCTTATGCGACACGTGACATACTGATTCCACATAGAATCGAAACAGACGCCGAACTCATAGATTTTATACCAAGTTCGCGGATTAAAGAACCTGAAGGCGGATATGTCAATTCAACAACTAACATTTTAGAAAATAGACATGTGCAAACCAACCAGATGTTCGTTCTAAATTTAGTCGCAAAATCCACATCCGAAATCAAGGAAGCGACGATCAAATATGTCAAGACAGAAGAAATGCGAAACAGTAAACGCAAACACGACTACTTATTATATGTAATAAGTGCAATAATAATTATCTGTATTATTATAATTATAATAAGAAACATAGAACAAAATCAATGGTGCATAATAAACGATAACACAAGATCCGGACAAGAAATCTGACAAGATCCAGAAATAGAACTGTGGCAATTTCAAGCTCCAGTACAAATCGAAGAAGCATCCCAGTCAGAGCCAAATGTTGACGTTCCGTCAACCACGCAATTATAGACTCAAATCAAGGACGACATTATTCCATTGCCGTCCGCACCTCAGATAAAGACCAGATATTCCGTGTACCCCACCCCGATATGATACGGAGTATCGTCTTATAGAGGAGGAATGTAGTAAACCGACGTTTTTAGTATAAAATCGTAGGTCTAAAGTCCAGTGGCCTAAACTATATCACGCCACCAAATCGGACCACTGATGCTTTTACCTGATTGGAGTAGAAACATCACGCCATTTCCATGATGTCAATCATCCTTTCCTAATCACAGCATGTCTCATATAAATAGGAGCCCTCTTCACAGGGAGCTCCAGAGAGAGTATAGAGAGTAGTTCATACACAAACGTTTCACCCATGCTTACCAAGAGCCTCTAGGGAAACGTTCCACACACATATTCTCTCCGGTTTAGTATTTCAATACTAAGTCGAAAACACTTCTAAAAAGATTTATATTTTAAAGTTATTTTATATTTAATAAATTGTTAAAGTAAATATTAATATTTCGTTATTAATACTTAAAACTCAAACCTTTACCCTTCCTATACTACGACGTTGTACTTGACATTGTGCATTCGTCGTTAAAGAAGCATTGCAGTAAACTACGTTCGAGTGATAGCGACGGTTACTACAAGGTGCTCAGGTCTCTGTGGCTCTGGTACATCTGCAATTGCTGATCTCTGGGCTCCCTTATATATGAAGAAGCTTCTTGTTATTGTAATCCATAGCCTTGCATTTCGTATATATCCTTGGAATTGTATTGATACTTGTTTTTGGTAAAAACAATCTCCAAGGTGCAATCTGCTCCTAATTTCCAACTTGTGCAAATGCAATGTTTTGTTGCAAATAATGTATTTCACTCGACCTCGGCACGCGGAATGTACTATTACGATGTTTATTATGATGTTGTTGAGAAGTAGATAATTACACCCGAAAATACATTCTAATCCTAATGCAACAAGATTCATAGTAGTATGTACCTACTATCTCGTATCATGATCATTAATAATAAATCTAACTCCCCGACACGTGTCATAGTCATGCTAATTACTTATATTAGCAATATTACATATTATATCATATATACTTATATTTAACAATATATTTCGTAGCCCATTACAATATTATAGGTAAAAACTACTGAAAACAAATTAAAGTTTAAAAAAAAAAAAAATGAAATACAAGAATATTTTCATTCCGAAATGGGATTATTAGTAGATATAGTATTACAAGGTATATTTTAATTTAAAAATCAAGATTTTTGTTACTATTTTTAATTTTAATTATAATATCGTGAAACGGATCATGAAAATACAGCCAGGAAGTTCTTTAAAAACGTAAAAAAATCGACTGATATTACTGGTTTGAACATCGATTTAATCAAACGATTTGGTACGATTTTAATTGTCAGGGCAAGTGGATTTGAAATAAATACAGATGCTTTTGAAATGTACGGTATTCAAACAGCTAAACTGTTCGTTAAACTCTACCCCTGGTGCTATATGCCTCCATCTGTATATACAATTTTGCTTCATGTTAAAGCTGATGTTATCCGGAATGCAACTTTACTAGTTGGTATTTTAATTATTATATATTATGTTTGTGTGTATAATATGAATAACATATATTTATGAAAAAATGTATTTATTTTTTTTTTTTTTTTTAAAGGCCAACTGTTTGAAGAAGCTAAAGAATGCCAAAACAATAATTACAAAAACTACAGGGAACATTACACCAGAAAATTTACCAGAATGACAATTAATTAAGATCTCATTAACGTGTTGCTAGTTTCATCCAACCCATTAATATCGTCCATACGAAACATCCAACAGAAAAAAATTGTAGATATATTCAGAAGATGTAAACCTTTTAATAATAATAACTGAAGACCAAGCAAGTGATTCTAGTAAATCTGAATCCGATAATGATTCGGAATAATATAACTTTTATAGTATTAATCATTTAAAATTAATATTTTTTGTTAAAATTTTATAACTAAACATTATAATATTGCATAAACCTATTTAAATAATACTCTAAAGAATAAAGTAGAATGACAAAGCTTGATAAATTTTTAAAATAAATAATGTTACTATTTAATAAGTTATTTAATATTGAATATTTGTATTAAATACGTATAAATAAATCGAAGTTCTTAAATGTATAGTTACATATCTCATAACAGTCATAACTAGTTAAACATGGTAATTTTAATAAATTTATACACAAAAAAAAAACATATGTTAATTTTTTTCGAATAAAAATTACAATTTAATATTATGTAAGCTAAATTTACTTTTCAGACCACTGTACCCCGGTTGCGCTAAACCCGTAGTTTACAACACATTATTATTGTCATATACTTCCCTTGATGGTCGATGGGGAACTTTTGTAGTTTGTTAAAATAGTATTAGAAAATTTGCAATTATTATGTAACTAGTATTTACTTATCAAAGTAATACATTTTCATACCAAGTTATATCAACTTTTATAAAAAGCTGAAAAGTGTTATGGTAAACAAACAGTAATATTATAAACTTTTTGTAATAATTTCAACTGCCTATGGTTATTTGTAATTTAATTACATTAAAATAACAATTTTTTTTTCTCAATTGAATTTATGTAGTTATTCACGTTATCCATATGATTCATATTATTTCCCAGCTCATAAAAAAAGACTGGGATTTTTTTTTATTTTAACCTCTCTATAAGTAAATGATTAAAATTAGCTTCAATTTTCTATCCGTAACCTACCTCGATATTTAATCTATAAACATTTTTACTGCTATGTACTCACGGAGATTTAAAATGTATCGAATGATAATTATAGGTTATACTATCTTGGCATATAGTAATTATTTAAGTTATTCGCCAATGCCGGACTCACCTTAATTAGTTAGTTTACGGCGATGACTCGTGTCTTGGTAAAGAAGAGTTTATAGCCAGTAGCCAGTAATTAAATAAATAAAGCGTATTATATAAAATTAAATTTATACAAATAATAATATTTTTTAATACACAATAAACGCATTGTTATAAAATATAACATACTGAGTAACACGTCTTATGTACTACAAACAAACAATAAAGAAGCAAGAACGGTACAGTACGGATTTTTACTACCTAACTTTTTCGAGTCGTTCTTTCCTGAGGAACCGAACCGGAAGTGATGAAACGGAAGAACAACAACGGCACAATAAATTAAGCCCAAATTGATCAAAAAATTATATACTGGACAGTCTAGACTAAATATGTTTGCTTATTCAACAGATATTCAAAACTAAAGAGGATAGTGAACTAGCCACACTAATGTCTTATAATAATAAAACAAACATCATCATATGAAAGAAGACGAGCATATTTTTCCTTTTTTTTTTCGTTAAATACACGCCAATAAAAAAAACAGTACAGACCATTAGAAAAATCGCACTCCATAAGAAAAAGCACATGCCAATGATATAATGCGCGTAATGTCAAGTAATGACCGATTAGTCTCGAGACGTCAACTTGTGCGAATATAAGAATTTGGAGGAACTTTCTGGTAAAAGTATTATCCTATATCTGATTAAAACCAGTGCTAATGCAAATTTCAAAATAGATTAATAACACAAGGTACTAAAACGACTGTGTTATAAATGATTACAAAATATACTCCAAAACGAAAAAAATAATAGCACACACACTATCATTGGAAATCAATTTAATTATTTAATATATTTAGTATTTAATTTATTTAAAATCTAAATGATGTTCATAATTAATTAATTTTATGTCAGAAATTATTTTTCTTCTGACAAACATAGTAATTAGATTTTTTTTTTTAGGATAGATTATTAAATTTTGAAGCAACTGAGTGGACATTAGAAACAATTGGGTCGTGCATTAATCTAACTGGTGACTCATTGAATTCGGAAAATTGTTATGATTTTCAGGGATATGTAAATAATAATAAAGATATAACAGGTAATACAGATTATCGATTAAATTATGTTATAATTGTTTATAATATGTTTAAAACAATATATGATTTTTTAAGATTAATTTTTTAATATTAATTTAACAATACTCGTATTAGACTCCATTTAAAAAATCAATAATGGAATATTATCACATTGTTTAAATTATTTATTATTGAATGCTATTTAATTACAATGATATACGGTACTGTACTATATTATACCATAGATTAAGCATAATCAAACCAATACCATTCTTTATACTTCACTCAATCAATTCAATTACTTTATGTTTGATCTATGTATTCTTTAGACTTGCAGTCAACTATTCTTCCCAAATTGCGAATTTTATATGGTGTACGGAATAGAAATTTAATACAAGAGCTTTATATAGTAAGATTAGTAAAATTTACAATATATTTTTAATGTAGAAACATTAATTAACGAATTAGGTACATTAAATAATATCATAGGTGTAAAGATATATTGCCTAATATTTATATTTTTTAGGAACTAACGAAAGATGATCATATTATCGAACAGGATATATTACATTATATTGTCTCTGCGGCTATAGATATCGACAAAGAATCAAAAACATATGAAAAAAATATTGAAAATGTCAAACTTGGTATTTATTGTAATATTATACTATCTTAATCACTCAATTATTGCTCTCAGTTAAAATAATTTGTATTAATTTAAACAAAAGTAAGTAATTATATAGTAGGTGTGATTAAAGGTAGTATAATTTTTTTTAAATCCATTTTTTCTTCGTATATTTAGTAACTAAACTATATTTTTGACAAAGTTATTAATTTTTTCAATGTTTCAATTTTATAATAATTAAAAAAAAAATATATACTTTTTATTTTAATTAAAAACACATGTAATATATAATAATAATATACATTTTCAACATTTTAGCTGACCTGGCAAACGTTGTTTTGCCATACAAATTGTATTTAATAAATATATATTTGTATTCAAAAAAAAAAAAATTAAATTATTGTCATAAATATAGTCATTCATTTTCTCATTTAAGCTTGATTTCGATTAGATCAAATTTCTTTTTTGTATAGAATCGAGTGTAAGATGTTAGAATATTAGGTATATATATATATGTTACGGGCAAAGTAGAAAGTCGGGCACTGTGCACAATGCCCGATTTTCAAGGGCAAAGTTAGAATAAGTTAACGTTGCCCGGGCATTGTTTACAGTGCCCAATTAGATTTGGGCACAGTAGATTAAATATTGAATATTATATAAAAAACTAAAAATAAATAAAGTTGCACAGCTTTAATATTTAATTTATTTATTATTTAATTACAATTATTATTTATTTGCTTCATTTATTATCACATACACCACTATTATGACACTTTGAATTGCAATGACGACCAGATCTTTTACATTTACACCGATTGGTCTTACACAATGTATTGCAAGTACACCTATCGTACCCTTGGCCACCCAAATTAGAAGATTTTCTTGCCACTTCTCTTAATGAAATTTGTACTGGTGGTACATCATCAGCCTGGATTAACCTCTTTGCATATTGTGAATTGGTTCCGACTGTAGAGTTGATGTAGTCTGCCCTCGTTTGTTCCAATTTCATATAAATTATCTTTTACTATAACAAAAAATTATTAATATAAAAATTATTTTATGATTAAAATTATTTTAAAATTAATTACCAAAAAGTATAACTCCTAGAATACACCGAAGTTCACATCTTGCTCGATCCACATCAGGAATTTTTATTTTAACATTTTCTCCTTCTTTTCCTGAAAAAAAAAACGTTCTTCAGATAAATTCTTCATTTTTTTAGCTTGTACTTTAAGATTTTCAGCAGCATTCGATCAATTTGAAGAAATTGATTCTATTCTCAATTTTATTTGATCGTTTTCATCTTCATCAGAAAAAAGTTATTTGGTACTGTCCTTATCACTTCCATCACTTTTTTTCGTGTTTCTCGTTTATGTTTTCAATATTAATTCCACAGCCTAGAACTTTTCTAAATCTTTCTCTGATTTTAAAATAGAAATTAAATCGGTTGGAATTTGGGTTGATTTTAGACCAACTTTAGCATGTGCTCCGAACATAGCTTCGTATGACGAACGTTTTGTACACATAGTGAAAACTCCGATTCTTCATAAATTGAACAAGTTTAAGACCTTTGCTCTACTTTCTGGAATTATTATCGGCTAACCATGTTGCGATAATATTCTAAATATCTTGGTTGGCCCTTTCAACAGACCCTTGACTTTCTTGAGTGTCTAGGCTTTCCGTGGACAATCTTAAATTCTTCCCACATACTACACAACTCAATAATAACTTTATTGACGAATTCCCTTTCATTATCACTTTGCAAAATTGCCGGGGCTCCAAATGTTGTAAAAATATCAATTAACACGTAAGCTACTTCTTCAGTCCGTTTATGATTTAACGGCCTTAGAATTATAAACTTCGTAAGGTGATCTCGATAGACCATTATGAACTTGTAATCACCATCAGGCTGAGCTTGCGTGTCTATTAAATCCACTTGACAGCGAGAGTTCAATTCTGATGAAATTATAGGTTTTACAACTAAACCTTTTTTAATTGTACTGCCTTTTTTTTTGACAGTGGTCACATAAATTTAAAAATATCATTATAGTCTCCATAATTCATCTCCATACGGTTTCTATCTCCATGTCCCACAGATGTATGTGTTTCATTAAGAAGTTTAAACAATTGTTCATTGTAAACATAATACTTAATTAAATTACCTTCGGATACTGGAACTACAAACTTTTCAATCCCTGATATATTTACAACATCGTATTTTTTAATTAATTTGTAATCATCTGCAGTCTTTTTTGTGATTTTAGTTTTCACATTAATCACTTTTAAAATTAATTCATCGTATTTTACTTTATTTAAAAATACAGCATTTGATTTTTTGTTTCATAGTAAATCGTTAAACTTCTCATTAAACTTTTTTTCCATTATATGTTAGAAAATAGTACACAAATACTTAGAAAATAGTTAAAAACTTTGACCAAAAGAAAAAATAACACTACAGGCAACTGCACTACCTACTACACTACAATGTCAGACTACGCGACGTCGCCGTCGTGACAATAATCATTCGAAAATATCGAATAGGAATTAAACGATTCAATTATGAAATATTATCTACAATACTGTGTGATCACTTTATCGTTTAGATTACGGTTCGGTTCGTACTATCGCAGCTGTCACGTTGTCGTGTACGAATAAAATATATAATTATAGCTTTGTAGTGATATTATTACGTATAAACACAATTTGATATAAAAGTGTGTAGCGCACTGTATAATTCACTTTGCCCACTTGAATCTGGGCAGGGTAAACTTTGCCCGGTCAATGTATGACAAATTTGAGTATTAAAATGATCATTCTTACATTGGCCAATAAGTTCGGGCATTGTGCACAGTGTCCAGGCATTGTTATACAATACACGGATTTCCTACTTTGCCCGTAACATATATACACAAGTCTGATTAATTTAATTATAGCTAAATACTTTTATATACCATAATCTATAGACATAAAAGATGAAACTTGCTGTCGGTCAAACCTCTTAATCTAAAAAAACGATTATTCTAACAAAGGTATAAATGTATGATTTAGGCAATCATTAATAGGTCATAATGGTGGGTAATACTTTAGTTACGAACTTTGAAAAGACTACTCCAATTGTCAATGTATTTTTTTAGATCTAACTCATATCCACAAAGATTTTAGCAATATTAATTTAGGTATTTAATAAACTTATAGTTTCACTATTCTTTAGGTTTTATTGGTTTTAACAAAGAGTTTTTAAATGCTGTATCATTATTATTAATAGTTAAAACGTGCGTAATAAGATGTTGCTATGATGATTCGTCTGATAATCACGCGAGTTGTAACTATCCGTGACACTCGACCGGACAGTTTTTAGTACAATGCCCAAAGTTCTCGATAGGCAAACATATGTTATTTAAATGTATTCTATCTATTGCCTTACTTCTAACCAGGTTTAATCGTATTCTGAGATATCTTATTATCCCATTCACCATATTTTACAAATATGCAACAATGAATATAATATGTAATTAAAATTTTAAATATGGATATTGTACTTTAATTCATAATTTGCTTAAGTGGTTTTTTATTTAAAAATAATTTAATTTAAATTTAAAAATATACGATTCAACGTATTGTAAACATACAATCCTTGTTTTTTTCCGTTACCTAATACCTATAATGATTTCATATTGTTATAAAATTCAATTTAAAACACATCTTTTTTTTATTTTTAAGCAATTAAATTACTGCAAGCTTTTGTCAAAAGTCACAGTATAAACTTGAATGATATGAATTCTAATGATAAACATAAAACAAACAAGGCAAATCAGGAAAAGAATAAAACTAATAAGAAGAAAATCACAAATGAAAGTTCCTTGGAAATTGATTATGATAAAATATCAAAAACAATATATACGAAAGAAACACAAATAAATAATATTTTTATTGCCTATAAGTGGTTAATAGAACTGAATGGAATACTTTGTAGTCATTCTATAATTAATACCTATTCAGCAAGTTTTGTATTCGCTGAACATAATATAAATACGTTGGCCAAAAATGAAAAAGAATTACTTCATACTGATCATATTAAAGACGATGAACATTTTATGTTTTTAAAAGCTAAACGAATGAGCAAAGTAATAAATCTTTAAATTTTTATTTATTTATGCATAATAATAAAATCTTGAAAAATTGTATCTTGTTTGAAACACTTCGTAATAATATGTGACCTTGCATCATAACTTGAGTTTCAAATTCAGTAATATTTTAGTAACAATTATTCTAAAACAAACTAAAGTAGTAAAAGTTATTCTACATACACGACACATACACTTTTGCATCAATTTTTATTGCATCCAATATAAATTTTATAAACTAAAATATTGAATATTATATTCAAATATTTAAAAGTTGATTTATTTTAAGTTTTTGTAAAATTATGAAATTGTAATATATATAAGGATTCCAGTTATTTATTTAAAGAGAAATTTTTTTTGCTTAATTTATAAAAGTGTAGGCCGGAATTTTGTGTTACAATACGTCTAAAAGTTATATGTGTAATATTTGAGCTCAATTGAACTTAATTAATAGGTGGCGACTAAAGCTCTAAGTTTTATGGAACAGAATAAAATGATAATTTTTGATGTATAATTCCTTAAATTTTAAACTTGAGAAAATGTTTTATTCATTTTATTATTTACTTAAGTTTTTTATTCGAAAACTATAAGTATAACTCAATTATAAGTTATTTGTTTTATTTATTATAATATAAATTTACTTGTTTAAAATAAATAAAATGTATAAAGGTTTTCTAAAATTATCCAATGTAGCTGTTTTTTGGATATTGTATACAACATTGTTTTTCAACCTTTTTAGTGTCACGACCCCCAAAATAGGTATAAAATATGGTCAATCACTTCACGACCCCCATCCCCTCTATCTATATTAGGTAAAAATTTGAACAGTAAAAATATCCTATCAATAACCAAACGAAATATAACATTTTAAATATCAATTTATAAATACCATATCTAGTAACTTAAGCTTATCAAGTTTGAACATTATGTATCGGGTCGTTAGGAATTTCCATTAGTGGAGTAGTACCCGTTTTATTGATGATATATCTAAATTTAATCGACTACTTATTATTATTATTATTATTATTTTTGTGTGTTATGAAACGATTAAATTATCGATGACAGTCGCGCGTCGCTCGTGTTGTTAAACTCATGTGATATTGCGTTATTAATTTGGTTTTTAGTGCGTCTTTTTAGTTTTGTGTAATTTGAATTAATGATTATGAATAAATATATAACAAAACGTAATGCTCCGTACTACTTATTATGTTTATTAATTTTTTATGTATATCCTTATCGGGATAATTTTATTATTATTATTATTATTATTATTATTTTATTTTTCTTTTCCAATAAAAAGTTTTAAATATTCAAATAAAAAGGTACATTTTGTAAATCAGCGTTTTATTATTTTTGACCTACGCGACCTCCTGGTTGAAAAACGATTGTTTACAATATTCTTGAATAGTCTGAAAATATAAAAATTGTTGTTAATATGTATATTATTCTATACTAAATTAAATTAATATTTATTATTTATTTTTAAAAGAAATTGTTTAACTACTTTTAGATACTTCCTATTTTTTGCTGTTCTATAAATTCTTATAAATTACTCCATATATTTAGATGTGATTTTAATAATGCAATTGAAATATCAAATCATTCTAAAATCTCTTAAGATTTATGGTTCACAAGTTCTAATAATATATTATTATTATCGTTTTCTAAAAGACTAATTAATTCTTCTTTACTCAAAATTGATTTTTTCTCAGATATTTCATCTGTGTAATCCTTTTCATATTAATCGTTATCATTTTTTACGCCATTATCATCTTGGTGTCTTCATTTATTCTGTTATAAAACAGTGCTACCGTAATAAATTCTTCGTTTAAATAATATAAATAACTTTTGAATAGTAAAATTATAAATAATTTAATTAATTTTTCGTTATTTATAGCGAGTTCTTAAAAACTTGATGTCATTTATTTGAGTTTTATTGGCATTTGGAACAAAATAGTAGAAGTTTGCATAGATTTTAATTAAAAACAAATTGAAATGAAAAATAAAATTATCCTCATGATTTTGTAACTTAAGTCTTAACTAAATAAATATATTTTTATACAATAGATTCTTTGGCCATCCATCTTTTGTATGAGAGGATGTACCAGGCTTTTTAAACTTACTTCTTACAAGAAATACTTCTCCGAAGAAAATAACTATTATATCTAATAATTCTTTATAATTATCTCGGGTTCAATTTATCGAATGTTTAACCCTTTCAGGACCACACAGTGATTTAACCAAAATCAAAAATTTTTTTTTTGACAATTCTACATATTAGAGTGTTTTAATAAATAAAAATGAAAAAAATTTTTGTTAAGTGGATAATTGGGCCCAAAAAATACATGATGTCAAAACAGATCATTGAGCATTTAAATCTTTATTCATAATAAAATCAAAATAAACCATAAATAAAACTTAAATTTCAGACTTCCTGTATATTAAAACAATTTATAAAAATACTACTTACAAAAAAACAATTTCTAAAAAACAACTTTTAAAAAACTCTAAATAACTTTTTTTAACCCTTTATACATATATAAAATCATAATAAAACATAAATAAAATTTCAGACTTCTTGTATATAACTTATTATAGACATATTGTATAATATAATAAAAATAATCATAAAAAAACAACTTATTTTTTAAATAAAACATAAATAAAATTTCAGTAACCATAGTATCAGAAACCATAGTAAATGTAGTTTGTCTTGACCAAAACATTCTGTAACTTGGCATTTTTACAATGCTCATGTAAAAATGAATACCTATATACTGCTCCATTTCTGATATATTTGTATTAATACTAGATCCAGTTACTTGACATGAATAGTAATTGGTTTGTTCAACAAAATTTTGAAATATATTGTCATCTACAAAAAACTTAAAATATTGAAGTGGAGATAGATTTTCTATAGGGGGGTCTGGTAATGAGGAAGTGCAAGTTGGGTATGATGTAGTCCTAGTGTTATTAGTCCAATTAGAGTCTCCTAAAGGAATATTACTCCAGTCATACTCGAGATCGTTATCGTTTTCATTTTCTTGTAAAAAGACTAGTTCTTGACGATCATGTGCATCTGGAAGTGGGTTATTAGGAGGTTGTATTTCTTGAATATCCTCTATTTCCTCTGTCATTAATTCAAGTACTTCATCTAAATTATCTACATTAACTTCATACCCTTCATCCAGCTCCTCAATGTTTGACAAATCACCAACTAATAAAAAGTTTGCAATTTCATCGTCAGTTAATCGTTTGTGACACATGTTGATGAAAAACTGAAATTGAATACAAAAAAACTTTGTATAATAACGAAAAACATACATGATGCCAAACTAAATCAATGGGATTTTATGTATGTATAAAAAAAAAATTATTAATTACATATAAGCCCACTGATCTTATTTGGGATCATGATGTAATATCTAACACGTTTCGTTTCTAACGAATAATATCAAGGTTCCAATGCACAAATTATGTTAATCAATACACTTAGAATTCAAAAATATTTTTTTTTAAGCTCTAAAATAAGTAAAACTTACCGAACTTGATGTTCGAAAAATACGTTTTGATGAATCACATCGATCGATAGAAAATGATTACAATAACAACTATTATTGATAAAATATATCACGAGGCAACTGTAACAGTATGACAAATATAAGAAAATAACATTCCCTATCGAATGGCACAATCAAATATCATATTTGACACCTCGGTACTGTTGTGTGAAGACTTTAAAAACATGATGACAAAATGAGTCACCAGCCCTCAAAGGGTTAAGTTTTACATATTCCAAAATGTCAATTTAATTGTTTCCTAATGCACTTTTAATTTCCATGTTAGAGATTCCGGTAACAAATTTATTTCAGATTAGGTATCCCATTTTGCCTTAAATCATTTGAATAAAAGAATATCTGAACCAGACATAGGTGAGAATTTACATTTTCTTAATATTTCAGATACAATTATCTCAAATGTATGGTGCCCATGGGCGTAGCGAGTATGGTGCAGGGGTGGGCAAGTGCCCCCCCCCCTGCACTACAAACTAAATTGTATTTCTTATATCACACGTGTAAGTTTTATGTTAAAATTGAAATATTAAATATGATATAAGTACATGAAGTCTAAAAATAGTTTAGTGGGACCGAGTGATATCTACACGTGTAATCGTTTTATATTTTATCGATTAGTCTATCTAAAGATTATTTGAATTATGAGTTAAACGCTAATCGTTATGTGCTTTATACATTAATATCAACAGCGATAGTGTCAACAATCAAGTGCAGCAGACAGCAGTACGTGCCGTTCTGTGTTCGCGTAAGTAACGAATATAATATATAACGTTTACATTTAATATTATTTTACACGATGGACATAAGAAAGTTTTTTGGTGGTAAGTACATATCTTGTTTTAGAATTATAAATAGTTACAAAGTAAAATAAATAAGTACAAAGTCTTTTACTTATATAATATATACACTATGTATTGTGACCGCCGCCTGCCGCAACTATGATATATTAAGTGGACGCTATACCCGCATGCGTTGTCTTCGTCTTACAAGCATACAATATAGCGAAAAACTGTTTTGCGCGGGACAAAACCACTCCCTTGGTATTTATAGTAGAATTACCAAAATTCCACAATACATAGGAAACAACTTTTTCTGTGTCATAGCGCATATTTTATGTTTATAATTTATTATTAATATTATATATTAATAATATAAATAATAATAATAATATATTATTATTATATATTAATATTATTAATAAATTATCAACAACAAACAAATTTTTAATGCATTAAGTTTCAAGCCCTGATTATCACTTACATCATTATTTCATAAGTCTTCGTAATTTTTAAGCTCGAGAAAAGAGAAAATTGCCAGAAATAAGTAGTAGCGGAAGTGATGAACATGAAGGAATATATAAAATTCCCAAATCCTCCAACGAACCTTCCACTTCTTATGATCGCAATACCAGAAATGCAGATCCTT